GCCCCATCATTGGGGTCGGGGGGGGGAAATAGTGTCCCATCGTTAGTGGGGGGGAAAATAGTGTCCCATCGTTGGTGTCATGGGGGGAGGAATAGTGCCCCAATCGTTGGTGTCAAGGAATAGTGCCCCATCTTGGTAGTCAAGAATAGTGCAGTTGGTTTCAGTGGGGGGACAATAAAGTTTAGTGGGGGGAAATAGTGCATCGTTGGTAGAGCGGCCTGGCGCTCTCTCAGACCTGTCAGTGTATTGGCTAGATTTTTCTTTGAAAAGCACCTATATTGGCCGCCTATGTTTTGATGTTTTACATAGCTATACAGGAGCTACAAAAGGAGACAGCTCGGTTCCTAAGCCATCGATATGTGTTTTCTGGTCTTAGGCGACCCCTTTTCTGACTAAAGTTCTACATTAAGGGAAATGTGATCAGAGTCTGTACACTCATTGAAATCTACAAGAGTAGCATGTTATTTTATCTTCATTGTTATTTTTCATGCTGTTCCACATTTCCTTTTAGTACATTTTTTTTGTTTGTTTTCTTAAAACCTAAAGTACTGGGAATCTTTGTTACAGATGCCTCCTGTTTTAAATGTTTATTTGTAAAGCAAACTGTAAAAGGTTGCAAGTTTTAAAATATTGCAAAATATAAGTGACAACCCTAAAGCCTCTTTCCCACAGCTGTTTAGCACTTTACAGACTTTTTTTCGTGGACCAAAGTTATGTAAATGTGTAAATATTGACATGTAGTAAAGGTCTGGGTGAAATGGGTATAGCCATGAAAAGGTTATTTTAAGCTCCCCGTGCCCCCACACACACACACACTTACAATTGGGTATGATTTAACAAATCTCATGTATTTTTACTGCAGAGCATCAGTTGCTTTTCTCCCTGCTGCATGCGCAGATGTGCCACAGGGATTTGGGTCCCTAGCGAGCCCAGAGGGACAGCTGCATGCATGCTGGTTTCTCTGTCCATGCATAAAGACGGCCATCAGGGAAGTCCTAAACCTTCCCGATCATTGTGCATGCACAGATGTTATTGTATGCTGCAGTTCAACTGTAGTTTGGACCATCATCACCTTCTGTCGAGCATTGGGTCTGTGTACAGAGTAGATATTCCAATGAATGGTAGTTGCATGTCTCTGTGAGGACATGCACCAGCAAATTGTACTGTAATTGTACACGCTTTGAAAAGCAGGTAGGTTGGCAGTGTGTCCATTTGTCGGATCACAAAAAAATTGCAGCTCGTGCGAGTCCATGATCAGGCCATGTTTTTAAAGACTCTGTCTTAGAGAATTCTGGGTGTCCTATTATGGGCGTCTGAAAAGGCATTTTACAGAAGGCAGAGAGAAGGTCTACCTAACTCCAGTACGCTTTGACTTTTTCAACACATTTGAACAGAGGAACCTCCTTTTTTCAAACATTGCCTACAGATAATGGTGATTTACTTAAATAGAAACACAAAGAAAATGTTCTTTTTCTATTATTTATGTAACAAAAATCATTACATAATGGTGAACTGTGGAAAAGGTAAGTATACCCTTGCCTTCAGAAACTGGTATTAACAGAAATGACCTTTTGCAAGCATTTTGTATAACTGCCCACCAGTTTGTAAAATCGATTTTGTGAAATGTTTGACCACTCCTTCATGCTAAATTCCTTCAGTTGCAAGATGTTTGTAGGTTTCCTTGCTTGAACTGCCCCTTTCAAATCCCCCACAATATGTTGGATTCAAATCAAGTTTTTGATTAGGCCAGTCAATAACCCTATATTTTCAGATTGTTTTTCAGATCATTTTTATGTTAAAAGATCCAGTTCTGGTTTAACTTAAATTTTTGGACAGATGGTCTCATATTCCTAATAAGCACACTTTGATATGATGCAGAATTCATAACTGACTTGATGACTGCAGGCTTCTGCTTCTCAGTTTGTCCCAAACTTGTCTACTGTTACTATGGCCAAGCAACCCTATCTTTGACTCATCACTCCGCTTCAGCTTGTTTCTGTAGATATGGTCTTTGTCTGGAATATCAATGGTAAACTGTAGTCTTGTTGTAATGGTAGTTTTGAACCATAAAGGCATGCTTCTCATGCAGGTTAAAATAGTGCTATCAATTTATGATTGGAAATGCATGCACATTGGTGGAGAGTTGTTTTGAAATTGTTTGAAAATTTGGGGGTCTTGTAAATGAAGTTTAACATCAGATGACCAACTCTTGGGCTGGATTTGCTGGGTCAGCCAGTCCTGGACAAATTAGCAGGTGTTTTGGAAAACTTTTTCAATCCCTTACTAGTCTCCGGCATCTGCAACCTTCTGATCTTGGCATGGTGACACCACACACATCAGAGAACACCAGACCCTAAATATCTGAGGGTTATGACAACTCTGTTTCCCATGCCAATTTTGTGTCATTTGTTCAAGTTTATCACCTTCATCTGCAGGCACAGTTTTAATTAAGCTCTAGTATTTGTTGGTTTAAGTATGTTGAAAAAGTCAATAATTTCCACGATTTGTATTTTGTCCACGATTCTAAGGGCAAAGCCCTAAAAGCGGTTGATACATGTTCCAAGGGTGAACTTAGCCTTTAAAGCCACCAAAGCATAGGACAATCTCCAATACACAGCTGGCTTCTTTCTAGTAATCCTTTTAGTAGAAAGCAACCTTCGATGATGTATTTTCCCTTGCATGGAAGCACATAATGAGCAAAAGGCTGTATAGCAAAATTTCATATCTATATATGTACTTTACTGTTGCGCAAAATATTCAGGTAAAGTAACTTTGTTTTTGAATACTGTGCAAACAGAATGCCTCTTCAGAATAGTCCAATGTTTTGGTCTTAAAGTGTCACTAAACCCACAACAGTAACATCAGTCTGTATATGAGTAAAGCACTGTGGAACTTAATGATTTAATCCTCTGCATTGTGTAAAAAGGCCATTTGATCCTGACTTCTCTGCTTCTCCTCTTGTTCAAATGTCCACCATTCTGCACATGCTCAGTTTAGTGTGTATTGCTAGAGAATTTATTATTTTTTTTTGGGGGGGGGGGGGGGGAGAGTGCATGTGATCAGCACAGGGCCAATTGGCAATGTCCAGACAGACAGGTTAGGGGGTTTGTATCCTCTTAGAGCAGAAAGAAAACCCCTACAAGCTTTAACTAGTGCTCTGCTGAACACTGATAGAAGTCACAAGACTGCTCTAACTGCTGTTGAGAAAAGGTATTTAGCAGTTTATATCTACCAAATTAATTGTACTTCCATGTTCAGGGTCTGGGGTTTAGTAACACTGTAACCATTCTTTGGTGCTTTTATAACTGTTTCAGGCCATTCTGTTGGAGAACCTGTGACTGAGGCAGAGCTTTCTAAATTTTAGTCTGACTTTAAGTTTTTCAACAGTGAAGTCTTCCTTGGTCGTATTACTTTAAGCCCACTGTTGCTAAAAAAATGTGGTGGACAGTGCAATCAGATATTGATGTACCTTAACCCTGGAGTTCAGCTTGCATCTCTGTGGAAATTTTCTTTGGCTTTTTGTCTTTGCACTATCCTTCTGTTCAGCCTTGGTTTTATTCTTCGCTTGCGACCACGTGCAGAGAGGTGGTCTGCAATCGCATGGGCTCTAAGCTTCGTAACATTTGCAGCCATAGTCACAGGAACATATTAATGGCCAGTTCACACTATAGAAACAGTTCAAATGCATTTCGGTTGCGTTTTTGCATGCTCGTTTTTGGCTCGTTTGTGATGCATTCTGGTGCAGTTTTTATGCATTCCAGTTAATTTTTTCCCCCTCTCTTTTTCTTTAATTTAAATAGAGAGACATGTGAGTTCCAGTGCGTTCTGGTGCATTTTTTATGCGTTTTTACCGCGTTCCAGTACAGTATGTTCTGCTTTTTTTTTCTGCATCCGAAACACACTTGAACTGCAAGCACTGTTGTGAACTATGACATTGACAACCATATAACCTACTTTCTGTGCATTTTGGATGCAAACAAAAACGCATCTGAAACACGTGTGTGAACTGGTCCTCAAGCTGTGTGGTTTTAAGGCCTTTACCTTTTACATGTATGTTTATAATTTGTTTTGTCTTTCTGATCTCCTCAGACTATTCTCCTTCACTTTCTCTGGTCTGTGTTCAATGTGGTGGACATGTGATTCCAAACAGTAGAGTGACTGCTTTTCTGCATTCAGATAGGCTGCTTGACTGATTGCAAGAAGACATGTGCTACTAATTACCAAAAAAAGTTAGAAATATTGCTATAATACAGTTTACTTATAAACAGATTATGGGTGCAATGTCAAGCTCCCGCAGACTCCCAGGATAGCTGTCTGCCCATACTTTGTATTGACAGGCAGGCACTTGAGAGGAGGAAGATCATTGAACTAAGAGAGCGCTCACCAGCGCCCTCGTAGCCTATTGAACTACAAGCGGTCAGCCATAGTCTATCCATTGTGACAGCAGGTGCAGGAAGGTGGTTTGTTGTGAAGGGCTTGGGCCTACTTTTGAGTTTCAAAAACTGTAGGGAAGGGTTAGGCCCCTGACAGCTTTTTATTTTTTTGTGTTCTGTTGGAGAGACCACTGGAAGTGACGTGAAATCTCTTCAAAAAGAAAACTGTTAGAGAGCTAGGTGTCCCCATATGGAGGTCTCCCCCCTCACCACCTGCTCAGCTGCAAAATTTTTAATTTTGCATCACTGTCCCTGTGACAATGGTTACAGGAGAAATGGTATACTCTCCCCAATTTGAGTACTAACCATAGTTAAAACCTGGCTGATCTAAAACTTGAAACAATGTTTGGCCAGAGATGCACTCTAAAGGAAATATGTTTGAGAAAAATTAGGCTAACATTGGAAGTTTTAGTTTTTTTAAAACGTTGATATCACTTGGATTTTTTAAGCTGTATTAGCACAAGTTTTATATCTGGGATGAAGAGTCATAATTCAGACACTGTAAGCAACATATAATATTGATGCTTTTTTATGAATAGATATATGAATGTATTCTTTTATTTACAGAGTACGCCTGTGACAACTATACCAGCATTACAAGTACAAGGCCACATAGTTGGCTCCCAGTCCTCTCCATACCCCACTACAACAGGTCAAGCGGTGGAGCCAGTAAAGAAGCCAGGACAAAACTTTATGTGCCTATGGCAGTCATGCAAAAGGTAAGCATGTTTGTAATCTGACAGCTTGTCCTCTAAGCCTAGATCAAGAGCGCACAGCCCACATGTTGCTAACTTTTGTACGTAATTATTGACATTCATCATTGCAGTGGTTGTATTATAAGTAATGAATATCTAATGATGCATTTTTTTTTTGCAGTCACTTGCATATGCCCCCTATGCGTGTGTATTTTTTTCATTTATTTGAAGTAAAACTAAACACAAAACTTTTGTTGTAGATTGGACAGTACAGAAAACAGGCTTCTTTAATATGCAGCAGGTGAATAGATACTGGACAAAAAAGCTGTTGGGACATTCCCCATATAACCCCTTCCTGTCTCAGCTATCCTCTGTATTTTGGTATTGTCCATAGGCGGTGGACCTCTTCTCTCTGATGAAATCTAGTTTTCTTATATGGAGGATTTTTTCTCTGGATCTTGATCCATGGTGATTCTTCTATCAAGATTTGTCTGTATCCTAGCCAAGGCAACTTTTCTGCTGCTTCTTCGGTTGACTGTTCGACATCACCTTGAAGAAATGTAGCTTGACCCAGCTATATGGAAGACACAGGGCCTGCCTGTAATGTTGATTTCAACACTATATCCTGCTGTAGGCACTCCCTTGGCACATGGTATAACATGTGGAGTTAGCTGTAGTATTGCTATACAGATCCATAGCCACAGTCTGCCTGGCTAATGACCCAGTCCCTGAAGACTCTTATAAGGGGGAAAGAATTGGCCAACATAGAGTGCAGAGACAGGAATGGGTTTATATCCTCCTTATTCCTGTTTGTTCCCCCCATGTGTATTTAGAACCGCTGGCACTGTTGCACCTGTTTTTAGTTTAGTGAGTGGTGCTCTATGGCATGTGTTACTGTACTTTGTGTCAGAGGTAGTTTTTGCACCAGCACAGCATTTCTTGCCTCTTTGGACTTCGAGTGCTGACCAGTGTGCATCTCCTGGTCTTCCATTTGCCTTGGTTGAGGCCTACAGGTGCTTGCATCAAGGCACCCCGCTACAGCAGGGGATTGTGGGTATTCCACTGGGGAAACCTTTATACCAGGTATAGCACATCACAAGTGCAGGGAACACATTATAGGTTCTCTTTAACATATACCTTAAGACTTTTTTTTTTTTTTTTTTTTTTTTGTGTGTTTTTTTTTTGAGTTTTGGATAGAGTAGAGAGGGGTTAGAACACCTGACAGGTTTTTATTGCTGTCTGTGCCTCCCCTAAGAAATTCACCCTCTATATGTGTTCTCTTTACCATTATCAATGAAAGTAAAAGAAAATACCAGATTTTGAGTTGTCCCCAGAAAAGAATTGAGGTGAAATCTTCCAATGGTGACACTAGTTTTGGTGACCTGAGGGTCCCCAAGGAATTCCCTTAATTTGCAGGGATTTCCTATTACTTCCTGTTTACCTATGGGACAGAAAGTAAATTGAAATCTTCACAATGGGACACAGATGGTGGAAAAAAATTCTGACAGGCGTTATAACCCTCCCTTGCTCAATCCAAAACGTAATAAAAAAATGTTTTCCTATAACTCTACTTTAAAGCTCTCTTCTCCCTAGCAGGTCCGCAAAGCGACTTGCAGTTGCATCTTTGACTGTCTTAGAGATACATCTGTCCTCTCACAGAACTGTTAACAGCTTTATGCTGCTGTATGAATGCTTCGATTTGGTATTCTGCCAAATTTCCAGGATCAGTCTTCTCTTTATCCACATGTACTTTATGAAATGTTGGTCAGCTGAGCTCTCATGCAGTTAATGCCTTGAGAGGTTGCCTTTTGAGGTTTTTTTGTTTTTTTTGTCTTTCCTTAGACAAGTACACCAAACTGATTACAGGGGGCAAGAATATTCACCTCCCCAGAAAGGAAGCTTCTGCTGAAGAACCTGTTTTTCCTATTTCCGACAGCCAACATCTGCTGGATAGTATATACTAACAGAGTTTTGGGTGGCTCCTAAGTCTGAGAAAGCCACCCTGGACCTGAGTATCTGGGCTTGTCTCTAGACACGGCCCTGTCTTTCATGCTGAAAGCCTCCAGGCTCAGAAGAGACCCTCCTTGGGTGGGAAGGTGCTTGGTTTTATGGTTGCCTCTTTCGAGTCTGTACTGTGTGCCCATTTCACTCGAGCCTGTTGCAACTCAATATTCTGGCAGCATGTAGAAAAAAAATCACCTTTGTAAGCCTCCATTTGTGGCCTTTCGTAAGGATAAGGTCATCCTGCATCTGAGACTCTTTCCTGCCTCAGTTTTACACTTCGATGACAACATTGTGCTTATGTCACCTTGTCCTAAGCCAGTCCACCCTAAGGAAATTGTCTTACATTTTTTTGGATGTAGTAAGGGCAATTAGGGTGTATTTGAATGTCACGTCCAGGTTACCTAGGTTAGATTACCTGTTCATTGTAGAGGGCCCACATAAGGGCCTTGCAGTGTCAACTCCTACTATCACGTGCCGGATCTAGCAAACTTGTGTCCAAGCCTATGTCATCAAGCACAGCGCACAACTGTTTGATTTGATGATTTAGAGCACATTCTACAAGAGCAGTAAGTGCATCATGGGCTTTCTGCCTTCAAGCATCAATTTCTCGATTTTGCAAGATGGCCTCGTTCACCAGATTTTGCAAGATGGATGTGGCAGCATTGGCTAAAATGAAAGAAAAAGAGCTAAATTATTTTCTGTGTTTTCATTGGAGAATGCAGCACCAGCCCTTCTGGCTTGTCTTGTGCCTGTGTGCTAATTTCTTTTTTTTTTTTTTTTTGCACTGCTGTGACATTTAACTAACCTTGATCCAGAGTGTGAGGGGCTTTGGCCACCAGCCTCCCCTGGGCTGTTTTAATGTTTGTTTAGTTGTTCTTAATGCCCTACTCCTGCAGTTGGCAATATACCCAGCGTGTGAGTCCTCTAATAAAATCAGAGAAGTTGATTGTATGATGATTGTATGATGATGAGTGCTATAAAACCTATTTTAAGATCTATTTTGACTTGTCTTACCTGTAGTTCCTTTTAGTTATTCAATTCCTATAGTTTTATGGAACCCAGCTGTGCTCGCTTGAGGCTGTAACCTGTCTGTAAAACACATAAGCACATTCTCCAGCCATCTGTCTTTTGGTCTAATGCTCAACTTTCCTGTAGACTACTTCTGGGTACTTCTTCCTTTAGGACAGCATGTCTGATGTCTGTCTTGCCTGCTCAGTATTTATATTAATGGATTGGACATTCCTTGTTCTGGCCATTCCTGTCCATTCTCTTAGCAAGTGACAGATTGCTGATATAGTAGGCCATAAAATTGAAGTCTCCAATGACAATTTGCTTTAGATGTGTGTTGTAAGAATGAAACCAAGCATATGGAAATTTCTATTAATATTCAATATAAATTATAAACTGTGTATGAGGTGTGACAATTTTATTTTTGGAATAGAATAAACCTATTAAACACATCTGCATTCATCAAAAGATCAAATTAAGTTTGAAGACTACGTTCTTTCTGATCTTCTATCAAGATTTGAGCTACCATCTTTGCAGCAATTTTTCTCATTCCCAAATCTTCCAATTTAATCTGCTGCACTGTTTCCCTGTTCATGTTCGATTCTTCTGCCTTTTTAGCACACTTAATCTTCAATCTGAACATATGAGGGTTTGCATTTTGTCCGTATTTGCATCCACCCTTTGCATTTTTAGCTGCCCACATCTTGCGTCATTATGGACATCTTCTTGCCCCTCTCTAAACCACCTATGTCATTGAAAAACACTTGATTTCTTCATGGATTGTGTAGCATAAGCCTGTTGTAACAGAGGTAAAATTTAAGTTGCAGTTTTGGCAATTTTCACCCAAAATTTGATGTTAATCTGCTTCAGATTCCTGTCACTCGCTCATTTTCCGTCAAAACACACACACGTTATTTCTGTTACTACTCTGTAAATACTGAGTAAACTGGTCTGCGACCCGGGCAAGTCCAAATAAGAACATGTCAGAACACGGCCCAGTGTTTGTGTGATTCACCACCATAGTGCTATGCCGTGGGCATTCAGGAAATGAAATGGTCACACTTTGTATTTTATAGACTTTATAGAATTGAGACATGGAAAGTGTATTTTTTTTTTATTGTAATAATATTATTTTAACTGAGAATTTAATAAAAATTGTAAAAATAATCTAGATGTTATCTGTGATAGCAATTTTGTAATCCATATCACTTCAACTAGCTTCAAAGTTGTACTCCTTTTAAAGTGTTACAGAATCCACAACAGTAAAATCTGTCTGTATATGCAGTAAAGCATGCTTGTTATACTCACTGTGGAACCTAAGGGGTTAATCCTCCACAACATGTTAAAAAGATGTTTGGTCTCCTCTGATCCTCCCCTCCTGCCAGTGTCTCCTAAATAGCTCCTGATAGAACAGAGGCGTGGGGGCAAGCTGCACATGCTCAGTTTGGTGTGTATTGCTAGAGAGCTTTTTTTTTTTTCTTGGGAGAGTACATGTGATTAGCACAGGGCCGGATCAGACAGAGGTCAGGGGTCCTGCATCCTCCTACAGGAGAATGAAAACTCCTACAAGATGTAACCAGTGCTCTGCTGGACACTGATAGAAGTCACAAGGCTTCTCTTAACTGCTGGTGAGAAAAGGTATTTAGCAGTTTATATTTACTAAAGTAATTGCATTTCCATGTTCTGTGTACTGTGGGAGACCAGATATAGTGAATGCAGGGTCCGGGGTTTAGTAACACTTTAAGTTAAAATGGGGAATATTACTGTGGAGGATTGAAATAAAAATTCTTATCTCCCGCTGTTATCTTTTTTTTGTTTTTTGTGAAAGGTGGTTTGAAACTCCCTCACAGGTATATTACCATGCAGCTACAGAACATGGAGGTAAAGACGTGTACCCAGGGCAATGTCTGTGGGAAGGCTGTGAACCCTTCCAGCGGCAGAGGTTCTCTTTCATCACGCACCTACAGGTGAGCTGCCCTGCTCTGAAAAGATCTGTGTAGTACCAGTACTAAACCTCAATCTTTTTTATTTCGCCTATGTTTGTAATTATGTCCATATACAGGACAAGCACTGCTCGAGGGAAGCTCTACTTGCTGGACTGAAACAAGAAGAACAGAACCAGGCAGGGCATCAGAAATCTTCCAAGTAAGGGTTATTTGATTATTTTTTTTAAACAAATTGCATCTATCTTTTTTGCCCATTTCCTCCACAGATGTGTGTACTTACCTCTATATGAAGGCCATGGCTTTGCTGTTTGCTGCACATAACACCCCCCAAAGTCTTCTTTTGGGTCTGTCTCCTGCCTTGAGACACAGCCCCATTAAAGTCTTTTGGGCACTATTGCTCACACACCGCCGCTAGGAGAGCAAAACTGCAGCCAACAGATCAAGGTATAATATTTATCTGCGTAGGTGGGGGGATTAAGTTACATTTGCTCAGGGGAAGAGAGCAAAAAGTATAAATGTGCACATTGTGTTTCAGTTATTTTGAGCCAACTCCTATTAATCTGAAAGATCTTGAAGTTTGTAAACTTTGTGAACATCCCCATACAGTTAATACCTTGAATTTTGTGAAATGTATTCACTATGCCCTGTAAATAGGCTCTGCTGTGTCACACATTTCACAGAGTCTGCCTTTTGAACTACAGAAATGCTGAGGGAAGTAGTTTCAGGAGGTGGAGTCAGTACATGAATCACAGCTTGCAAGCAGCAAGGTACCATGGGATATGTAGTCCTTAGTAATTTAAATTAGAGAAGAAGCTGAAAAGCATGCAGGGAATTTAGGGAGTGGTGGAAAGAGATGGCTAGCAGACAGGCAGAATTAACAAAATGAAAGGAGGTTTTTCAGGCAAGCCTATATGAGATTGTCATTCATTATTTGTATTTCTAGTACAATGCTGATGTTATAAAATATAGGTATATGATTTGTCCATAGGTTTCCTTTAACCACTTGCCCTCAAGAGGATTTACTCCCCTTTTTGACTAGGCTATTTTTTTTGCGATACAGCGCTGCTTTACTTTAGCATTTGCTTAGTCATGCAACGCTGCACTCAAGTGAAATTTATGTCCATTTTTTTCCCACGAATGGAGCTTTTTTTCGATGGTGTTTGATTGCCTCTGCATTTTTATTTTTTGCAGTATAAACAAAAAAAGACCGACAATTAAAAAAAAAAAAAATATATATATATATTTTTTTTTTACTTTTTGCTATAAAACATATTCAGTAAAAAGAATTAAAAAAATCAAATTTCGTCACAAATTTAGGCCAATATGTATACTGCTACATGTCTTTGCTAAAAAAAAAAATCCCAATACGTGTTAATTGGTTTACGTGAAAGTTATAGCGTCTACAAATGGCGGTATATATACTGGAATATATATATATATATATATACACACACTAGTAATGGCAGTAATCAGCAACTTATAGCAGGACTGCTATGCAGAGCAATACAAAGCAGCATGCTGGTGCTGACAGAGGAGAGATCTGTGTTTACATACAGACATCTCCCCTGTCAGTGTTCCTCCGCAATCGCTGGGTGCCGGCAGGGAATCTCCGGCTGGGACCAGGTGATCGACATTTGTAGCCGCCAATGGCGAAACGCATGCGCCCCTTGCCCGGAAATGCAAAATCTCGTATATATACACGATTTTGCGCAACCTTCCACCCTGTAGCAGTAGTTCTGCTATAGGGTGGTTGGGAAGCGGTTAATGTATTAATTTTTGCATACTATGTTTGATTCTGGATTCTGCTAGTGTCCAATCACTTATAGGAAGCAGCCTGTACCCCAGAATCTATGAATATCCAACTTGTGTTCTGTACTTTACTCCAAAATATGAAATGTACAGGATAGTCAAAATACATTTTTTTGTGTGTGTTTTGTATATTTCTATTTTTTTGTTCATATTTACATGCCTACTAAGATGACAAACAAAAGTGATGGTTGCAGAAGTTGGAAGGGACTAATAACACTGCCAAGAGTTAATACCTTTTTAATACCTAAACACCTTTTATTCATATTTTTAACCTTTCTACTTCCAAGTAATATGGAAAACAAAGTTCTAAAAAAATGCATATGAGAGAAAAGAAAAGAAATGTTTCCCCCAAATACTATCATTGCATATATAAACCCAATTATGGTTATTGGAATGCCTTATTATACCTTTTAAGGAAGTCTGTTCTAGAGAAATGGACAATCATTACTAACTTGATGCCATGCTTGTGCAGTAGCTTGGTTCGCTGACCCAAGACGGGTGTCAGTTTGTGCTTGTGTTTTTTTTGGACAACTAGTATTTAATTGTACATCACAGGGCACAGATAAATTAATATTCATGTTGATGAACTGGGTTATGCTGCCACCTTCATATGAATAGACACCGGTAAAATGCAGGAATCCCAATTAAGGAGCAACTCTTCTCGGTTCAACCAAGCTTCCATTTTAGCTAGTGTCAATAGATGATGCTTCATTGAGTTTCCCTGATGATCTCTTCTTTTTCGAACTTTGTTCCTACATCTCCTGACCAGGCTGTGGCAATGGCATTCATCGGTCGTCTGGGGGTTCTCTGGCAGGCAAACTTCCTTAGCTATCAGTAGCTCGACCCAGGAAGCTGTCCCTACACCTGAAGGTGTTCCAGAACCTGTGTTGCAGACTGAGGATGCCAGATGTGGACCTCATGGCCTCCAGGTTCAAGGACAAACTGGGCACACTTGTCTCCAGATACAAGGATCCTCTAGCGAAAGCAGTAGATGCTTTGGTTACTCGATGGGATCAGTAAACCCTGATCTGTGTCATTCCTCCCCTGAAATTTTCTTCCTCATCTGCTGTACAGGATCCAGATAGATGGCATTCAGACAAACTTTATTGCTCTAGACTGGCCCAGCTGGATGCCAACCTAGTAAGAGGGGCAATAAGACTTTGTACAGGGGATCATGTAGCTCCCCATTCTGTTCTCCTGTGACTCCATGGGATCTAAATCTGGTTCTCCTTGCACTTTAGAAACTGGCAGGTTAAACCCATTAGAGGTATCTCTCTCTATTCTCACCCACAAGGTGGTGTTTCTTGTAGCCATCACTTCTGTGAAATAAGTGTCTGAACTGGCGGCTTTATACTGCAAGCAACCCTGTTTGGTATTATATAGAGAAAGATTGGCATTGAGACCCATGATCTTCTTCTTGCCCAAGGCAGTTTCTTCCTTTCACCTCAGTGTGGCTATAACCAGGGAAGGGAATTTCCCATTATTGATTTTCTCAGGAAGAGGGATTCTCTTTTTGCAATCCCGGATGAACCCTGTAAGTGTGCATCTGCTTCTCTCTCCACTATTTTAAGTAGTTCAGGCAGACTACCATCCAAGCTTCTGGTGTCAGGCATCAGGTTTTCACTCTGTCCTATCACTGTGCACCCTACTAGATCTCTGAATGATTCTTGTTTTTTTTGCATCAAGCACTTGTTTCCCAGGTTTGCAAAGCTGCCACCTGGTCTTCTGTTTACACGTTCTCTAAGTTCTACCAAGTGGACTCTGGGGCCTTATCGGATGCAGGCAGTCCCCAGTTCTCTGTTATTATTATTTTTATTATTATTATTCAGGATTTATATAGCACCAACAATTTGCACAGTGCTTTACAATTTAAAGGACGTATGTACAGCAAAAACAGAGTTCAATACAAGAGGGTTAGGAGGGCTCTGTTCCTGACAGCTTACAATGTAATAGGGAGGGGGCAAGTGGAACGAAAAGGTAACACCTGTGGGGCATGAGCTGATGGGAGAAATAAAATATTCAGTTGTTAGCTGATGGCAGGATAGGCTTCCCTGAAAAGATGAGCATGGGAGGAGGAAAAAAAGGGAGCTAGAGGCAAGAGGTCTTGGGATGAGCAGAGAGGACTTGTTTGTTATATTTTGAGACCAAATTGGTGAGGTAGCTTGGGGCAGAGTTGTAAGTAGCTTTGTATGTTCGTGTTTTGAATTTTATTCATCGGCATAGAGATGGTATTGAAAGCTGTGGGAGTTTATCAAGTGACCAGGGGAGGGTAGTGTAGATGGAGAAGAGAAGGGGTTTGAGAACAGAACCTTGGGGGAGAAAGATGTGGAGAGGAGGAGACAGAGTTTTAGGCAACACTGAAGGAATATTGTAATAGGTAGGAGAACCAGGAAAGAGCAGTGTCTTAGAGGCCAAGGCAGTGGAGTTTTTGAGGAGGAGCAAGTGGTCAAAAGTATCACAGGCAACAGAAAGGTCTAGTAGTAAGAGTACGGAATAGAGGCCATTGGCTTTTAGCAAATAGTAAATCATTAGTGCGTTTTTAGTAGGGCATTGTCTGTGGAGACTAGGTGTTTTATAAGTTTAGACATAAAATGGAGCAAGGAGATAGGTCTGCAGTTTAGGCTGGTGGGGTCCAGTGAGGGCTTTTTAAGTATGGAGGTGATCAGTGCATGCTGTAAAGGAGAGGTAAACAGGCCAGTAGAGAAGGACAAAGGGTAAGGTGGGCTTGTGAGAACCTCTTCTATAGTAATGTAAAGCTCACTCCTGTAGGAACTGCAGGAATTTTTGTCCATATTCTTCTCCAGTGGATTGCCCCGCAGCCAGGCACATGAACACAGTTTTTCTTTTCCTCAATAACCAGTCTAGGGGTGTTTTTGGTGTTTTTTTTTTTTTGGAGAACTTGGTTAGGGATGAGGGAATTGAGTGGGATAACCCAAAAACAAACTATGTACAAATCAAAGACAGTGAGCTTTCTGTAAGGCTGAAGCAGAAGTCCTTGCAGATAACAAACTGTGGACTTGACTTGTAGTAGAAACAGTTAAAAGCACACAGGCTTCTTTCCTTAGAGCAACAAGAGTAGTAAAGCACACAGGCTTCTTTCTTTAGAACAAGAGCAGAGTACCCTTCACTGAGAAATAGATAGACTAAGCTCTTCAGGACACCAGCCGATGTTCCCTTTAGCAAATACACAGCTGACTCTAGCACAAGAGGGGTGGCAGCAGCCTAAAAGTCTGTAGGATCTCACAGCATTCTGTATTCACAAAATGTCCAGGGGAACTTGGTTGTCTCCTTCCAACACCCTTCTTCTTAGATACCAAACTAATTCTCCAGCAGACAGCCCCTCAGTCAGCTGTCTTGTAGCTTCAGTATCCAGGCAAGCACATGACAGTGTTGCCTAGAGGGCAGCAAGCCCTCCAGGCTGTGTTCCTCTCCTGTGGGAAAAGACCCAGAGCTCCGTGCGCTAAGAGAATATGTACAGTTACCCAGCATGCCATCAGAGCCCAGCTACTTGGGATTGGCCAGAGCTCAATAAATATTAGTACCATTATTTGCATAACTTCACATCTATGATCCAGAAAGTTCTCACAGCTCCCTGAAAAGCAGAGGGAGCTGTAAGACTGACAGCAGCTGAGGGCACTGAACAGACCTAACTAATAATTTGCAGCCATACTGAGTGCAGTGAGGCAAGCTAAATTTACCTCGCAAAATACAAACCGCTCCACTGAACCCAGTATCCAGCACTAAATCTGAATAATCCTAGCACCTATCTAGGGGGGTGCTACAGTAAAAAGGTTAAAAGAGGAAAGTGTTGAATGTGGTTTTGGACAGAGTATCGTATAGCACAGCGCACTCCCAACACAGAGATCGGGCTCTCACCAGGAGATCCGGGTCCTGTACTAATGATCAGGACTCCAGTTCTGGGTCACCTGCTCACTGTGATAACCTCTGATTGGCTATTACAGTGATCAATCACTGTGCAGTCCACCCCTGTGTTTTCTTTCTCTTCCATGATTGGAGGGAGAGATACACTGTATCTCTCTCTCATTGCAGGGAGAAAGATGTAAATAAGTGTGTAAAGATAAATAAAATTTAAAGCAAAAAGAGCTAGATCAATTTGTATCTGTTAGTGTCAGTATATTTTAGGTAGGATAAATAAAAATCAAAATGCACACTATTCTTTCTGGGCTGTACTACAAGTACATACAATTACTAAAATACATATATGTGATATCGCTGTGATCATCGAGCAGAAGAATGTTTTTTTTTTTTTTTTTTTACTATTTTGGGCCAGTTTTTCTCTGTTAAAATAAAAGGAGATATCCATTACCATTTATCATCAAAAGAGAGTCCAATGTTTCCTGAAAAAAACAAGATATAAACACCTGGATGCACAAAGTAGTTGTGATGACATATATATAGTTTTACTAACACATGTCAAAATTGTAAAATTGTGTTCAGGCATTTACATTTGTATTAAAGGCACCCTTTAAGAGAAAAAAAAAAAGGAGCAAATCTATTGTCTTCAATAACTGTTGATACAGACATGGTTTGGCTGATTTGCAATATGAACATTATACACAGTTGTGAATGGTCAACAGTTTAACTTCTGTTGTGGGAAGATCTTTGAGGGGTTGACTACATCCGCTATAAATTGTCATAAGCAATAGCCAGCACAAATTTATAAAAGACCAAAGTTGTAAAGGATAATGTTGATTAAGCAATTTATTGAGCAAGGATAAGCTCTGTCAGATGCAGTGTGCATTGTTTTGTATTGAATGTTTTTTTTATTATGACTTGGGTGAAAATAGATCAAATACATTCATTTCTAGGCATTCTCCATTGTAGTTCTCTAACCACCAGACCATTATTTAGCATGTAGAAACTAGCATGCTTAATAATTTTTTTTCCTTTCTAGGCAATCTACAGGAGCTTCAACTCCCCGACCCCAGAAGGCCATTGTGAACCATCCAAGTGCTGCCCTCATGGCACTAAGGCGGGGATCAAGGAACCTGGTTTTTAGAGACTTTACGGTGAGTTTGTTTATTTTTAGTCACCAAGAAAAATGTTTCATCTGCTCCCTGAGATTATTTGAGTGAATACCATTTCCTTTCTGTTTTATAAAGGATGAAAAAGAGGGACCAATTACAAAACACATCCGATTAACAGCTGCCTTAATATTAAAAAATGTTGCAAAACACTCAGAATGTGGTCGTCGGTAAGTGTTACTCTGTTTTTCTGCATCTACTTGAGTTTTATGTCGAGCGAATAGTTTGAGTACCAAAAATCTTGTCTTGTTTATACCTCCCTACCTGGTATAAACTGAAGCTGCCATACCCCATTTTTAAGGCCTACAAACAACCTATAAAAGTTCAGGGTCCTAGTAGATTTACTATAGCCCAAAAACACGTAAAAGACTAACTAATAGACTACTACGGGCTTTATTAAGGTGATCCTAAAATATTATATTTAACCGCTTGCCGACCGCCCTATAGCAGAAATACTGCTACCTTGCAGCAGCGGTGCACAAAATCATGTATACATACGCGATTTTGCATTTCCGGGTAGGGAGCGCACGCGCGCCCTACCTGCATCACCATATACGGCTGTCACTCACCGGGCCCCGGCCAGTAATTACTCGCCGGCGCCCAAGGATCTCCGATGGAGAGGAGGACGGTTTTGTTTACGAACAGTCATCCTCTGTCAACTCGGGCACACTGCTGTGGATGGCTGTGCAGTGAATCACACACATCCTGCCCTCTAGCAAAACACTCCCAGCACACAGTTAACCCTTTGATTGCCCCTCATGATAACCCCTTTTTTTTTAGCACTAATCACTGTATTGGTGTCACTGGGGATGTCAGTGACACCAAGTCAGTTCTCCCCACTGTCAGAATGTCTGGCACAGTCCTGCTAGAAGTCGCTGATCGCCGCCATTACTAGTACAAATAAAAAAATTCCAGTATATATACCACCATTCTATAACTTTCACACAAGCCAATTAATTTACACGTATTGGGAATTTTTTTTTTTTTTTTTTTTTTAGCAAAGACATGTAGCAGAAAACATTTTGGCGTAAATTTATGAGGAAATTTGATTTTTACATTTTTTTTCACTGGACACGGTTAACAGCAAAAGGTCAAAAATATTGTGTTTTTTCTCAAAATTTACCGCACAGGTGATCAAATACCACCAAAATAAAGTTCAATTCGTGGGGGGGAAAAAAGGACGGAAATTTCATTTGGGTGCAGCGTTGCATGTCTGCGCAATTTCAATACCTAAAAAAAACCAGACAGCCATGTACCCTTTTACAACCAAACATCCTCTCCACAAACTCTTAGTTCCCTTTCTCTTATATTTGCAATATCCCCAGAAATAAACAGCTTCAAAGTTTTTATGCAATGGGCTAAAAATCCTTTAACCACTGGACCTCTGGAAGGTTTTACCCCCTTCATGACCAGGGCATTTTGTCGCTATTCAGCACTGTGCTACTGTATCTCGCAAATACTTGGTCATGCAACACTGTACCAAAATTAAATTGATTTTTTCACACAAATGGAGCTTTGGTTTGGTGATATTTGATCACCACTGGGTTTTTATTTTTTTTTAATCGAAAAGGGGGAAGAAAACAATTTTTTCTACTTTCTGTTATAAAGCATGTCCAGGAAAAAAAAAAAAAATTCCTCATAAATGTAGGCCAAAATGTATTCTGCTACATGTGTTTGGTAAAATAAAAAAAAATGTCATTAAGTGTATTTTAACTGATTTGCGTGAAAGTTATAGCTTCTACAAACTATGGTGTATATATACTGGAATTTTTTAGATATAGACTCTATACTTGTAATGGCATTAATCAGCAATTTATAGCGTGACTGTGCTAATGTGGTGGGCAATCTGGCACTAATAGACACTGACTGGGAAAGACACTGACATCACTAACACGGTGCTCAGTGATAATACTGTACTAATGACACTGGCTGGGAAGGAGTTAACATAAGGGGCAATGAAGGGGAGAAGAAACAGCCAGATCGCTGCTCTGTTAACACAAGAGTTCTGTGTGTTTTGTAAACACAGGACTATATGTGCTGTGATTGGTCACAGCCAATCAACTGGTTTCAGCTGAAAGCATTGACTAAAACCTGATGACATACTTCAGTCACAGCACGAGTCAGCAGGGGGCACGTGCACATTTGCCTGAAAACCCAGAAGCAGGCTGCGACGTGCATGTATGTTGCCTAGCCTGTAGCTACCACCCACTTTCAGTAGATGTATTGCGAGCGAGCAGCCAGTGATTAAACATCAAATTTGAGCACGTCCAGAACAATTCAGAGGTATTCTATTGCAAGCATCTATATACTGGTTGTGAGGCATAACACTTTTTGTACCATACTAAATTCAAAACAGGGATTACTTGGCATGGTCGGTCAGTTCAACAGATTGTAGCGATTCTCTTTTTTTTTTTTTTTTTTTTTTTTTAAATCAATCTTTATTAACATTTTCCGATGACATGAAGTAAAATAAAACAGTAAGTCAGCAGATATATTTTAACTTGATAAAGAAGTAATAAATACAAAGGAAACCCTCATATGACAACAGAGGTAAACAGACATCTTGACCATAGTTGCGCATAAACGGAATAACCATAACACTTAGAATTCCAGTAATTCAAATAAAAGAAGTAAGAGGAAAGAAAAAAGAAAGAGAAAAAAAAAAGAAAAGTGGGGAGATTGGGGGAGAAAGAGGGAGGGGAAAAAAAGCATAGCACAGCACTAGACTTCCAAAAACATCCAATAAAGCAGTCCGTAAAAGTAATAAGGGCCAAATAGCAGTAGGAAAAAACCCACGTGCACATACCGGCTCAAATTGCGAGCACTAAACAGAGAAGCTACCCAGAAAGGCTAATGCATCTGGTATTTCAGAGGAGTAAAACATCCATCCTTGCCAAATATCTTTAAATTTCTCCCCCTGACCTCTAACCAGGTGGACCCAAAGCTCGGCATCCATTATTTTATCTGCTTCCCGTTTCCAATCTGATAATGTAGTACATTCAGACCGTTTCCAGAACCTCGGGACCAAAGATCTGGCCGCATTCAGGAGGGGTATAACACTACACCTGTAGACCTTCATAGAGGTTGAAGTTACATGAAAGAATAAACAGAGGGGGGATTGCTCCAGAGGGCCCAATGACAATTTCTGTATCCATGGGAAAATTGCAGCCCAAAAGGGCGCAATTTTAGGGCAAGTCTACCAGAGGTGGAGAAAGGTACCAAGATAATCATTACCTCTCCAACAAAGGGGGTTAGCGGTGGGAAAAATTTGGGCCAAGCGGGACGGGGTCCGATACCATCGAGTAGGAAATTTATAAGAGGATTCCTGAAACGGGAGCTGATGGAGGAGGAGTGTGCCATTTTAAAAATTCTATGTATCTGCTGAGGGGAAAAATCAAGGCCCAGTTCTTTCTCCCCTTCCTTAACAAAATATGGAGTTGATAAGGAATACTCGCTCAATACCAGTTTATACATTTGGGATAATAAATGTCTAGAATCAGGAAGCGCGGTACACATACGTTCATATGCTGTAAGGGTCAGTCTAGAGCGAAGTCTATTGAGTAAAGACATAAAAAAGTCATTCAATTGGCGGGGTCGCCATGTGACAAAGGGGAAGGTTCCATATTTAGAGAGCAACAGAGGGAGGGATAAAAGGACACCCTCAGGAGCAAGCTTCGCACAAGAAAAATCCCCATCAGCACCCATAAACTGAAAAATCTAATATCCTCCCCAGGGGAAAACTAGGGGTAGCCTCCCAATGGGAGCATACAACACAGTCCCGTTCATTCTATCCCAAACTGTCAGGGTAGTATGCGTCAGGGGAGAGGTCCAGTTGGAAAGGCCTCTACAAGTCTATGGAACCCATGGGGCACCTGCCAGATTTCTACCTGCCATTGACTTCTCTAAGGCAACCCATTGTTTCGTCAGGGTATCGTGCTGCCAATTAAGAATGTATACCAAGGCCATAGCCTTGTAATACAGGGCCTCATCAGAAAGTCCCACCCCACCTTCCAATTTGTGTCTCCGCAACATATCATATGCCAGTCTAAGATGTTTATCATGCCAAATAAAAGTCAAAAATGCTCTGAGAATCCGTTTGAAAAAGGATTGGGGTAATGAAATAGGTATGGTATAGAAAAAGTAAAATATCCATGGCAAAATAGTCATCTTCAGAACATTTACCCGACCAAACCAATTCAAGGGAGGAATACGCCATTGTTGCAAGTCATGCGAGATAGTAGTCAATAATTTAAGGCTAAAATCCAACCCATCATGCGTTCCCATGACCAAGGCCCCGCAAAACTTCCGTCATATAGGTCCAGTCCACCCAATCAAACGCCTTCTCAGCATCCATGGACAACACTACATTAGGTGTTTGATCTGGACCATACTGAGCCCAATGCAAGATATGCAGAGCCCGAATGGTGTTATCCCGGGCCTCACGGCCCACTATAAAGCCAGTCTGATCCAGGTGAACTAGGCCCGCAACAGGATCCTGCAAGCGCAAAGCAAGGATCTTGGCCAATAGCTTAGTGTCAGAATTCAATAAAGAAATGGGCCTATAATTGGCACAGTGTTGAGGGTCCCTTCCGGGCTTAGGCAGAATAGTGATGTGAGCCAAAAGTGCTTCCGGGTGCAAGGAATTGGCCAAAGTAAGAGAGTTAAGGTAACTACATAAAGGGCCAGCAGGAAGTGAGAAAATTTTTTTATAATATTGATTAGAGAAGCCATCCAGTCCCGGGCTTTTGCCCAAGGGAAGGGAGGCAACCACCTTCGGCAATTCCTCCAGTGTGATTGGCTGTTCAAGTTCTTCAACAATCATAGAAGGCAATGCAGGGAGAGGGGAATCTTTTAGATAGTTGCATATAGAATGAAGCCGAGCTCCAGGGTCCACACTGGAAGGTGTACCAGGGAGATCATATAAAGAAGCATAGAACTGCTGAAACAAATCTGCAATTGAGTGGGAATCTTCCACACGATCCTCACATGTCACCAGACTATAAACATGGCGCAAGGACCGACGCTTTTTTAATTGCCTAGCTAAAAGGCGGCCACATTTGTTCCTGTGCTCATAGAAACGGTGAGCATAAAATCGAATTTTATCTAAAGCTTTACAGTCCAAACATTGAGAGAGAGTAACACGTAAAGTATCTAAAGCCTGGGCATCGGA